TAAATCGTTCCTTCGGTCAACTATCAATATTCTTATTATTATTATTGTTATTATTATTATTATTATTATTATTATTATTATTATTATTATTATTATTATTATTATTATTATCAAAACTATTGTAAAATGATAAACATAAAATAAATAGCTTGTTGTTGTTGTTGGTTTTACATGACTTTTATCATACATATTACATACATATTTTTTAATGTTTTAAAGGGTGTCGTTCTCCCTGTTCTAGGGAGTGTGTGTGTGTGTGGCAGCTCTCCCCCATGCCTTATACTAAATCCGCTACTGCACGTTTCATCAATCTTGTGCATCGTCTTTCTTTAACTCTTTCAAAAAATTTTTTTACCTACCTCACTTTTTCTTATAAAACTTCTCTCTAAATGCTGATACCCAATCAGTAGCACCTTTACGCTCTACATACCAAACCAACTTAATTTTCCCTAGTGTATCCTAACAAATACACCATCCGATTCCTTTTCAAGATCATCACATTTGAACTCTTCAGAAAGATATAATATTATATTATTATTTTATCTTCATTTAAGTGTAATTTTTTTTTTTTTTCAATGGAATTAATTTATTAAAGTTTAAGAAATTTATTGATCAGAAAGAAAGTGGTATGTAAAATAAATTTATAGGGACATTTTCAAAGCTGAAAAGAAATGACAAGCATGTGAATTAAGAGAATAATTCAGGTTAGAAATTAAAAAGAGCAACTTTAGCAACAATTATCATAAGTGTAATTATCACATTTGGGCTGACTCTGCCATTGATGCCTTTTCTCTTTTAGACTAAATCAAAAAATAAAAATAGAAGTTACAAAAAAAATATTAATGTTCAAGGATTATCTGGATATTTCTGGATATTTCTGGAATTCCTGATATTTTCTCTATTTTTTGTTTTTTCGGATATCCAAAATAGTTTCATTACATATAAGTTTAGGGATATATTTTTGTAATAAATTTTCATATATAAATAGATTTATGTATAAAGATATTGGAGAGAAAATCAGTGTATTGAGATTATCAGGGAATTTTAAGATTGTTTGGAAATATAGAATGTAAAGTTGCAAACTATTTGGACACAAAAACTTGATACCCAGAAAGGTAGCATTTAGCAAGGATGCTAAAACAATGACAGAAATAAAAATGTAATACCTTGAACAGACATCCTGCCACTGTAACTGCCATTTTGTCTTTAGTGGCTATTACTTCAACCTACTTTGAAAAATAGTCACTAATAGTTAAAATGTATTTACAACCATCTTCACTACATGGACTGAGTGGGCCAATAAAATCTATGCCAACCATATACCATGGAGCTTTTACCTTTATTGGGTGCATCTCTGGTTTTCCACAGTTTAACTTTCTATTCATTCTCTGACATACATCACATGATATAAGCTGAAACAGAATAGAATGGTATAGCAATACTTTATTATAAATTATTAGGGAAAATCAAAATTTTTTGTATTTACTCTAACGCATAATAATGCAAAATGTAAATTACCAACTCATGGACATTTTTTACCATTCCGTGCCACATGAAACGCTCTTTTACCCTGCCTAATGTCCTTGTTTTACCCATATAGCCAGAAGTAGGAAGAACATGGCAAGCTACTAATATTTTTCTTCTCTCATCATGATTTATGATGTATCGCAGAAATAGTTCCTTTAAATAACAACATTGCATATAAGTATTAATTTATAATTGTTAGTGTTTATGTATTCAAGAATGGCTAGTGGCAGTCATCATGGCTAAGTATGAAAATGTCACAACAACAATCAAAACAAGAGATTGACAGAATGATAGTTTTGAAGTAAAGGTTGGTGTGCATCAGGGTTCAGTACTTAGTTCTTTGCTTTTTATTATTGTTTTAGAAGCTCTCTCTAAAGAGTTCAGAGTTGGTTTACCGTGGGAGTTATTCTGTGCAGATAGTTTGTGTCTGATAGCAGAAAACAGAAACAGAAGAGGAATTAGTATTAAGAATTGAAATTTGGAAAGATGGAATTGAAGCTAAAGGGCTCAAGATAAACATGAATAAAACAAAAGTTATGCACTGTACAGTCAAGAATGAACAAGCAAAAAATACTGGGAAGTGGAGTGTCATGTGGAGTGTGTAGGTATGGAGTTAGAGCAAATTTTATTGTTTAGACAGTTTGTAGGCAATTGGTTCATAAGAGATGTGGTGGTACAAGGCTCTTTTAAGATTGTTGATTTTGAGTGTAGAAAATGTATTTTTGGTGAGTATAGAGTAAGTTAAAAAAGTGGTTGAAATAAAAAGTAGAGGAAAGATAGAGTGTGTTATTAAACTTTTTTTATCTTGGAGATACAATTGGATCAGCTGGAAGAGCAGAAGAAGCATCTAGGGCAAGAGTAAGGTTTGCTTCAGAGTAAGTCAGAGTTAGGTCTCTATCATTAAAGAGGGGAGGGGGAGGGGCTACTAAGAATTAATTGAATGAAAAAGAAACTAAAAGCAATTAAGGTTGATGATGTTCAGCATTTGGAAAGGATAGAAAGGATGATGATAAGAAGGATGTGCAGTGTGACTCTAAAAGACAAGAAAAGCAGTGATGATTTAAGAAAAAGATTAGGCATGGTGAGTGTATCTGATAGGGTGCATCAGGGAAGATTGAGGTGGTTTGAGCATGTGCTCTACATGCTCAAGGGCATGGAGCGTAAGGATGACTGGTTATCAACATGTAAAAAAGTGCAGATGACTGGTTATCAACATGTAAAAAGTTAAAAGTTTCAGGAGAAAAAGGTAGAGGTAGAAACATAAAAAGTTGGAAAGAGTGAGTTTCAGATGATTTGAAAAAGCTACATTTCAGGAAAAAAAATGTTCAAGTGTATGTTAGAGACACGGCATTATAAGAAACATCCAGCCCATACAAGGAAAGAAACAAGGACACTAAAATGATAATTATATTTTTCTATAACTTATTTTGTTATATTCAGTTATTAAAACTATGTCATCAATAAGCTATGGCAAAAAATACAGACAAATATAAAAATCAATTAAAGTTGCAAAGCAGAAATAAAAACAATTTAGAACTTTATTTTTTGAGCTATATTGCTATGTTATATGTTACATGTATATTAATTTGAATATGATTTCTTAATTTCAAATTGCAGAAATTTCAAATTTAGATTAAATTTGATGAATTAGGCTAAATAATGAACAATATTAACTGCTGTTTATTTTAGAATAAATAATTGTTATGAATAAATATTGATAAATCAAGCATTGAATTGTCAGTATTTGTTCATTACCTTGTTCAAATAAAATTAAATATACTCTGAAATTAGTTGTTAACATTTCAAGGATATTTAAAATAATATATATACTAGTATAAAATAAATTCCTAACAAATACAATAAACATAGTTAAAGATATAAACATAGTTAAGCTATCAAACAGTTATACAAATAAAGTAAAAAATAGTTTGAAAATATAACACATCTATATTATTAATATTATTAACAACAATGAAAATAATAACAGTAACAATAATATGATATTAATACTCATTATCAAAATAAAAATAAACATCAAATCAAAATTAAAGCTAAAATATATCAATAATCAATAATAAGTAATAATGATAGTAAAGTAGTTAAACATGTATTTACATAATATTACTATCACTTAAAAACATAATAATAACAAAATAATAATAATAATAACAATAATAGCAATAATAGCAATAATAATAATAATAATAATAATAATAATAATAATAATAATAATAATAATAATAATAATAATAATAATAATAATAATAATAATAATAATAATAATAATAGTGAGTGTGTATTTATATAAATATTGTTGCCAATATTTATATATAAACGAGTTACCTTGTCTTTCTTTTTATACTTATATAGTAATTCCCCACCTTCCGAAATCATAAACTTTAAGGCTTTTTTTCTAATGACTCTTTTTTCCCCTTCTAGACTTCCATCAGGGTATTGCTTTTTACTTAAATAAGTAAAAACTTTTTGAACAAGGTCGTCTTCCATGATAATTTAAAAGATATATGCGCACATGCATAACACGGACCAATTTTTTCTAGCTCAGACCAATTTTTACAGAAAAAAATTATCCGGCCGGATATATATTTTCTGAGAAATTTAGTCCGGGATCATTTTTATCGGCGGACCAAAATTATCGTGACAGGCACAGGGAACATACGTGGCATTTTACCATTTTAATAATTATTTGTTGACAAAATATTTTTAAACTTTAAATTTAATTACTATTAGGTATGCTACATGAAAAATTTAAATTGAATAAATTCTAGATTGTTATATATCATTAGAAAGACCTTCAATTAAATAATTTAAAAGTGAAAAAATCTTTAAAATCGAAAAATTTCAAAAAAAGTTATGACGTTTTTAGTACCGATTTTTGGATATATGGATTTGTTGATAAAACTGTGGTCAAAATAAAGTTTTTTAAACCAAAATTATTAAAACTTTGTCAAATCCTATCTAAATCCTTAAAACTTGGTGTCAATAGATAGATATAAGAGTAACCTACACATTAACATTTGCACGCACCCTCAGGACGTATCCGAGGGCTAGAGGGGGTACCCGAACCCCAACTTTACTGTCATAATATCAATATTTTATCTATAAAAATTTTTTTTTAAAAAACTTTTTATTTTTATATGCAAGTAGTTGTTTTAATTTCTTTCTAGATCAATACGAGAGGTACATCTTAGAGTCAGGGTGTATGTGAATAGGGGTAAACACCCTATTATTAAAAAGACCCTGTTGATAAAAGAAAATTTTATTTATTTATTTTTTTTCAACTAAGAGGTTTTTTCAGAGGAAGTGGTGGGACTGACCAAATAAATGGGTGCATGTGGGGGGAGGGGTAAGCACCCTAAAATTGAAAATGATTATTTCATATCACTATTTTTGAATTTCTTTAAAATAAGTAGATCTAGAATAAATAAAATACAAATTATATAATAATAGGTTACAACATATACTAGCCGTGCATATCGAATCGAGGGCATGTTGTGTCCATTCACCTTAAATCTAAACAAACATGAATATATTATTAAAAGTGTGAATAGTAATTAATTTTCATATGAAAGTAGTTGTTTCAATTTCCTTCCAAACTTCCCCCAAATACGAGAAGAACATCTTTGAATTTATTTAAAATATTAGAATGAGTATTGAATAAATGACTTCATGAATGAATAAATACCAAAAAAAATTGAAAATACTAATTATTTACTTTTGTCTTGGGTTTTAGTTGTTGTTTTTTTACACCCTATTTTCAAAAACAATTCATTCTTCTAAGTATTTTTTATCTTTATTAAAAAAGAAATCAACCTTGTATAAAAAATATAATTTATATTTTAAAACATCACAACTTACACTAGCGACGCACAGTAACTCAGAGAAAGGGTGTGTTCCTCTAACCTAAGAACAGAACATATATTAAAAATGATAATATTTTATACAGAATATATGCTAAATAAATGCTTATATTTTAGATGGTAAATTTTAATTTACACACTTTCCCATGGCCCCCACAAGGGAGAGGAGGTCTGGTGGTACTTTTTGAACTGGGGCCCCCAACCTTTTTGGCGGCCCTTTTTTTTAGACTTGCAACTTTGCCATTAAAAGAGGGCCTGCAGAAGACATAGGTCGAATGACCTCTCCGAACTTTAAAGTACAAATGTTTTACTATTAATTATCAATAAAATAATTTATAAAATGAATAAAATACTTATAATACCTGCTGTAATAGTGTGTTTGTAATTTATTTTTTAAGTCTCTAACTTCCGCTCGTAAAGCTTCTATAATTACTTCTTTTCGTTTAACACTTTGTCTGAAAACTTACAATTTATAAGGTAGGCTGATTAATTTTTCTTTTGCTAAAGCTTCTTACGGTTTTCTATGTTAGCTCTAGCTAACCTTGAAGATAAAATAGATGTCGTATTTACTAATTTTTTCTCATAAGACTCTGGTAGTCAAAATTTGAAAATGAGGCATATTTCAAGAGAAAAAAAGATAAAGTTTTTCTCTTGAAGTATGCCTCATTTTCAAATGTTCACTCCCATAATTAGGTTCATTAATATTTGGAGAACCAATGCGTTCAGGTGATTCAACAATTAAAGAACATGAAACATTGTAAGTAGAACTACTAGATGTAGGCTGCAATGAAAGTGTCAAAGTTGACAATGGTTTATTGCATGCAAAAAGCTCTTTGCAAAATGCAACACAACTTTTCTTTTTCCTTTTAAAACACTTTGACCATTTTTTGGCTATATGCACTACACTTTGAATTTGATTTAAAGAAATTTTATAGTTCTAATCTTTATTTACTTGGACAATTGTTTTGCTATACAACTCTCCATTGCAAACAAAAATAGAAAATATATGACGATTGCTACACTTAATGCTGGTACCCAATGGCAATGTAAAGTTATCAGCTAAATATTTCTTGAATAATCCAAAAAATATATTTTAAAGAGATTTAATTTTTGGCATATTGTACCTTAAAAGAGTAAAAAAAATTATAAAATAGGTATTAAACTGCTGAGATCAGTGATGACCTTAGCAATCTACAAAAAATAAATCACACAAAAAATTAATATAAAGAAATGAGTTATTATTTCAAATATAGTTGTGTGTTTTATTATAAAGTTATAAATAGTTGAAAATAAAAGTTTATAAATATCTATAAGAAATGAATAAAAGTTCACTGAGAAATTATTAAATATCAAAATAAAATATCGTTGTATGAAATCATTTATAAATAGCATAAAATATGTTATCAGCACTTTAGCTTTCTTTTTTTAAAATAAACATAGCTAAAACAAATAGTTTAAACTAACATTCAATGTTAGTTTAAACTGTTAGTTTAAACTATAATATTAATAATTAATATTATTAATATTTCAATCATTAATATAGTACTATTATTACTTTTTATTTTATTATTTATTACTATTACTTTTTATTATTAATAACTATATGGCCAAATATATTTGTTTTAACAATCCATTTAATACTTATTTATGATAAATGCAATGTTTTTTTCTAGATAATCTTTTATTAAATGCAGTTCATAGTAATATAACCAAAAAAAAAGTATTAAACAGTTTTATTTTGTAATTGTTTATTATTACATGTTGTTGTATTCAAACACATTTAATGGATTGTTGTCTATGTAATAAATGAAAAGCATCTTTGGCAATTTGACTAAATTACAAAAGAATTGAGATAAAAGAGATTTTTAAATTGTCTACTATATTCCTTTGGAGACCAGTATTTCAATAAATCAGGGGTGTGTAGTCGTAAAAAAAAAGTAACGACCTCGACTCCAGTTATTGAAATCTTTTTAGCACAACTCTAACTCCAAAGCAAAATTTTTGAAAAATTCTTTGAATTCTTAAAAAAATATTACTCGATAAGTTAAAAATTTCTTCTTTGACGAATTTATGAAACGTTCTTTGAGATTTAGTATGAACATAAAGTTAATTGAATTTTTGCACATGCACATGTAATATGGGGAAGTTTTACTATTGGAGTCGGAGTCGCGATTTTGTTTAGCAACTCAGACTTTGTGCTAAAAATGTCACAACTTTAATTCCAACTCCACAGCCTTGCAATAAATGCTTAACTATTCACAAATAATGTAATGGAGAAAGTTCTATCAAACTTTTTATCAAATAATGTGTTATTAATATGTGTTAATGTAGTCATTTTTGAAGTTGAAAATGTGATTATTTGAATATTCTAATCTTGTTAAATTTAGATACCATAAAAATCTTTTCCAAATAAAGTCGCCTTGAAAACAGATATATAAAAACAATAACAGAAGAGGAAGATGTTGCTAAAAATGGTTTAAAAAAAAAACAATCAAAATAATATTGGCTTTTTCTAATTTTATCTTTTGAAATGCTTTATACTTTTACCCTGTTTTTATATATTACATTTTACATTTTATTTTGAATAAAAGAATATTATTGTTTAATTAAGGAGTTGAAGCAATTCTTAGCAAAGTTTTACCAAAAGTTTAATAGGTTTTTTTGTTCCAATTAAAATTTAATACATTCATTTACATATATATAATTTTTTTAAATTTAAGTAAAGCAGTCAGACAAATAATATAGCTGCATTATTTTTCTGATTCTGATTTGTAAAAATAGAGTATATGTACATAACGTTTGTTTGTGTGTTTATGTTTACTGAAAATTTTCCTTCAAGGTTAGTTTTTATAAGGTAAAAAAGTACATTTAATACGCATTGTTTATATAAATTTTTTATGTCTAAAACAATTCTACTTGTAGACAACTATCAGTTCGGCAGGATGGGATGCTACTCTATTTTTGAAAAAGATTATATTTAAATCTCTGCTCTTTTTTTTAACTTGATATAAAAAAGTGCTAATTTTCATAAACTTTTTCATAATAACTTTTCATAACATTGTTACAAAAAGCTCTAAACTTTGATTTCTTTTTGATCAATTTTTAATATAAAATTTTATAAATCTTATGCTTTTTTCATTAAATAATAGAATTAGAATAATATTTTCAGTTTGCAATGAGTGAATAAACTATTTAATTCAAATTCAAATAAACTATTTAAAATTGATTTATTAACAAATTATTCACACTAAATAGTAGGAAAAAAATCAGGAAATTTATTTTTCATAATAAATAAATTTTTAATATGTCCCTCACTTTTAATTTTAATATAAGGTGCAAACAGGAACATTGGAAACATTAAATACAAATACAGACATTTAAGTTAGAAAATTTTCCTTGTTAAGCGAAACGAACAATTAGAAAGGTTTTAAATAACATCTCCTACAACCTTAAATATTTAAAATATTTAAGGTTGTTGGAGAACCTTATTAAAAATAAGGTATTAATTTTACGTGAATATATCTTAAGAGGAGCTATTTTAATAAGATTCATTGTAAAATTTGAAATATTTTGTATGAAGCCTGGTGAGATAAAAAAAATTTAATTTTTGATTATCGCTTATCGCTTCTAAAAATTACATATTTTACAGATCCTTCCTTAAGTGCATTGAGAGCACAGTAAGCTTTTTTAAGTACCTTCCCGTCAATTTTACTTTTTTTCTACACAAGAATATTATGAAAAAAGATACAATGAAGAGAATGGTAGTCAGAAACTACTCAAAAATCATCCTGTTTTATGGTTTTTTTTCTCATCAAGCAATTATTATTACTTTTTTCAACATTTTCAATTCCAACAAGGGTGCAAGCAAACGCTATTAGAATTAAAAGTTGTTGGAAGAGAAAAAATGAAATTTGCAGAAGAAGATAATAATTAACAGCAACTTAAAAGATTCAAGTTATTTGAATCAGAAAAACAAGATGTAGAAAGTGAATTCCAAAGGACTTTTTGAGAAAAAAAACTAGACTAATAAGATTTTTTGGAGCACTTAGGAACAGTCACAGTAAAAAGATAATAATTAATTGAATGACAAGTAACGCAAGGATGAATTTTAGTAAATGGCATAAGAGACACTAGCTCTTTAGAGCAGTGCCCATTATAGTTTTTATAGTAAAAAGAAAAAGGAGCAACATTACAACAATGTAATAATGGTTGGAGGTTGGCTGCAAGAGCAAGACCAACTACGTTTACAATGCATTTTTGCACCTTTTTTAAAAAAGAAAGAGCATTATTGGATGATCTGCTCCAGATATGCAGACTTGGTCGGGAAGTGGGAACAATCGCTCACGATTACTGACAAAGCAGTTTGAATTGTCAAAAAAAAAATAATAAATTCCTTGCCAGCCTGATACCAAGACATTTCGTAAAAAAAACTTTACAAAATAAATCTAGAGACTTTTCCATAGTATTTTCCACAATCCTAAAGCAGTTTTGGCACGGAAGAAGTTGGTTTATCAAAAACAGGTTTGTTATGTATTGTACAAACCAGTTGTTTTTTTTTTGTTTAATTTAGAACATTTTTTTTTTGTGTGTGTTTAGTTCCTGTATATTGTTAAAAAAACTTTCAGACTAAATTAAGAAGTCTCATAAAAGTACTTATTCTCAGGTCACGAATTCTCGTATTTCATTTTTAAAATTAGGCTCTTGTTACTTCTGGACAATCTTTAACAGTATCTATAATGAGGGCAAATCTGTTTTTTATGGTTCTGATTTTTTCAACTCACCTAAAGACAAAGCTAAATTATCTGCTAAGAACTTCTCATCTAAATCATCTCTTAATTCCACTAGTCTACCTAATAGAGCTGACAAACAGGTCAGTCCATTGTCTAACTTATACAGACTCCTCTACAGCTTGTAGTCCGGACAACATATCTGTTATATTTTTACAGAAGTGTTCCCTAAAGCTATTGTCTATACTTGAGGCTGAGCAGTATATACTACATTTATATAAAATCAAACTACATTTATATAAAATCAAACACAGGT